TTATATTACATAATACTAATTTTTAGTAATACATCCTGAATTTCTGTAAACCTATTTATAATAAAGATTAATTTTTATTGTAATACAAATATAAAAACTTATTGATCATGTATAGTATAAGAACATTATATACACATCCTTAGTCAAAAAATTAATAAACTTAGAAGAACGTATTTGATTAAATCATCAACATTCTAGAGAATCTCTCTTCATTGTGTGTGAACTTGGAGGTACTGCACCTGGCATTTTATTCTTTGGTATTTTTCCAGGACGTAAGTAGGGATTATCAATAGCATCTTGTTGTGTTGTAGTTTCCCCATTTTGTTCAGTATCTTCGTTTTGTACTTTCATACCTAAAATGACACAAAATTTTTAGTTTTATAAAGATAAATATTTATTATTTATAAGGAAATCAGACCTTCTTCTGTTTCTTCCAATTCTTGCTCCTTTTTCTTTTTTACTGGACTTGGTTCAAATTGGAAATCTTGATCAGTTTCAAACACTTGATCTTGAGGAAGAAGAGCAGCTAGGTAACTAGGAAATTGTGCTTTACAGGATATCACTGAAAAAATAAATGTTTAATATCTTGAATACATTCAACTATAAATATATCATGATTGTAGTGAAATTACTTACATGGAAACATACTGTTGTCTTCTGTTAAAAATAAGCTATGAGTGTCTCCAGTTTTTGCAATAAATCTAGTCAAAGCCCTTTCAATATCACGTTTCTGTGTTGCTGCTTTTTCTCTTATTGCTTCATATTCTGTGACTGGCTGTTTATGTGTCTGTTCATAGATAAAAAATACAATAATATAATTCACTACAAAACAATCAGATATTTTAAACTAAAAATTAGAAGAATTATTTTTACCGGTGTCCTAATATATGCATGTGGATCAGGAAAGAGCGGTAAGTAACCAGGTATATGAGATGGATGACCTTGTTTTACTCCAGCTTGTAAAATATTTAATTGCTTTGATTGAGTCTGTTGCTGAAGTGGTGGTAATACTGTCCTGTTCAATCTCTTCCCATAAGTTTCTAAATTATCCAATTTTATACCCATATTTATCAATGCTAATATAATGTCTGCTATGAGTGGTTCGGTTCTGCCAGACAATTCACAATAATTTCTTGCAGATTCTCCCACCTCTACTATAACTGTAAAACATTTTTTATTAACATATGAATAATATATCAAAAAAGAACAAACAAATTTTTAAATAATAGTTATAGAAGAACTTATTGGATTATATCTCTAGGATTGGATTAGTAGTTTATGATTGCAATTTCGAATGCTACCGAACGGACTATTGAAAAATCTGTAGCTATAATATAGAGTTTCACCTTCAATAAATAAAATTAAATAGAAAATACTAATAAAAACATATTTTAGGTTAGGATCGTGGAATTTCATTTAAGTACTTACAAGATTGCAGCATCTCTGTCAGGGTTTCTAATGCTTGTTTCTCGCCAGTATCATAGCCACTTTCTACTAGAATGCTACAGACTACATGATTTAATATTTTCCTTCGTGTATTTGTCGTTTGAATATCCATGTTTTTCCATGGAGATTCATATTATAACAAGTAATCAACAACAGAATAGTATGCCACTCAACGACATCGTACGTGGAAAGCTTGAACTTGCTCTTGCTAGAAAGGAACCCTATATGTACATATCACACAAAATACAATATACAGGGTTTCCCAAAAGCGGAAATGCAATCCGCAGCTTTGTGTACGAGTCATTAACGAAAAACAGTGATCAATCAGAAGCGAGATCATTTGGCGCGAGACGGCCGAGCCAATGAGCAGAACTGGGCTCCGTGCATTCGTTGACTGGGCCGCCGCGTGCCAGCCGAGCTCGCCTCTTATTGGTCAGTGCTTTTCGTTAATAACTCGTAAACGAAGCCTCGGAGAAAATTTTCACAAAGGAAAAAGTTGCTTCAAATGACCTCAGGAATCTCTCATTTCCAGATTACGAGACATTTTCGGGACACCCTGTATAGTATACATATGTTTTACATATAAACGTAATGTATTTATTATTATGATTTTTATGTATATGTTCGTAAATGTATGTACTATGTATGTGTATACAAATATGTATTCCTGAATCCATCAAAATTTGTCTAACATATCAAACCATGCATTGTATCCTACACATCAACATGTGTTGTATATATGTATTGTGAGGCGGAATGGCTTACATGCTATGATCAGGCATGACTGTTTATGTACGTAACAGAGATTCTTTTTTAAGAACACATAAAACACATTTTCCCGCTTGATCATAAAAATTATAATATCCTGATAAAATCCACATTTCACGAGAGACTAACAGTTTTTAATTTCATCATAATAACCAACTTTGTAAAACGGAAAAAGATCTCATTCATATTGTAACACACCAATCATCTATGCATTTTGACAGTGATTAACTAGAAACGTTGTATCCATTGAACATTGTTTTTACATACAAATCGAATTCGAAGTAATTTAGTTTTAATTTGTTATAATTTATTAAGTCTTGATACGGTTTCTGTTGAGAAAATGATTAAATGATGTGTCAAGCAAAAAGGTTAAGTAAACTTGCTTGAATATAGGTTGAACAGTAAATACAGAGCACGTAATCGTGTTATAATATAATATACATTAAAGTTTACTTTAATGTGTAATTAAGATTATGGCGTCAGGATTAGAAAGTTACGTGAATCGTATCCTTTTACAAATAATACTAAACTTAAAAATTTCATTGTGAAGTTTTTATAATTTAATTACAATTTACAATCGTTCTATATGCATCCTAAACAGTTTATAGACACAGTCTCTATTATCACTTCTGATGGCAGAAATTTTATTGTAAGTATAGAAATATTATAGAAAAAGATTTTTCTTAG